TATTCTTTCTCTGCAGCATACTACATCTATGCCTTTAACATGTGCCACCAATTAAGGGGTTAATTATGTGCATACTGCCTCATGCTGATTTATAATTGTGGGCAAGTTTTGTTTAAGTAAGAGCATGGAAAGTCTGATTCTTCCACTCAAATCCACCCACCTTCTGTCTAGGCTGATGCTGAATGTAAAAGTTCTCATTAAATACTCATTTGTTTAGAACTGAGACTTTGGGATTTGTATGATGTTGCATACAGACTCCACAATAATGGGCTAAGATAATACAGTGGCTCTGAGTTTGGACTTTAAATCACAGAGACCTGGGTCCAAATCCCAGCTCAGTTACTCATAAACCGGATGCTCCTGGGCAAGACTGTTCACCTCCTAGAGCCTCGGTGTCTTCATCTGTAAAATGGAGATAAAAACATACACTCAGGTCATTAGGAGTCAGTGAGATATGTGGTTAGTACCCTGCTAGGACATAGACCTGCCAGACAGTAGGTAATTATTATTACTTCTAGATTTTCCTCTTTATTGAGCAAATATCATCTGAACCATCAAACAAAGCTAACTCCCAGCTTTTTACTTCACTTCTAAAACTAGATAAGGAGTTGGAGACTCACCGTATTTTGTTTCTCCCCTGAATTCTTCCCCCTGCCTTTAGTAAGCAGGGGTCTGATTTGTTTCATTCTTCAGTTTATGCCAGTGGTTTTCAATAGGGGATGATCTCTCCCCCTACCCCAACCAGGGGGCATTTGGAAATGACTGGAGACATTTTTGTCTGTCACAGCTTGAGGCGGGGAGCACTTCCAGAAACTAGTGAGCAGAGGCCAGGGATGCTGTTGAATATCCCACAGTGTGCAGGGCAGTCCTCATGACGAAGAATTACGTGGCACAGGTATGTCAGTAGTGCTGAGGCTGCCAGTTTATGCCCTCCAGCGCATGCACACACACACGCACACACCCCATACACGCTCATACACACACACACACCACATACACGCTCACACACACACACACGCACACCCCATACGAGCTCATCCACCCCTGTTCCTTGTCGGCGAGCTCCAGGATGATGTCATGCGGAGGGGAACCCACACAGGCCTGTGGTGAGACACAGTGCACATGGGGGATCTCGCCATTTCCGTGCAGACCCCTCACCTCAGCATCGCAGCCGCCTCATATCCTGCCGTGGTCCCTCCTGGGACCCAAGGGGAACCTCGCAGCAGATGGGGTTTCGCTTAGTCACAGTCTCTGTGGCCAGATCCGATTACATCAGCAGCCGCTCTGGCTGGGAGAGACCCACCGTTGCCTGGAGCTCTCTGCGCTGGCCTTTCACCTTCTAAGACCCAAATTCATCCCAAGACAGTGGAGGAGAGGAGCTGGCTTGCAGTTCTGTCTATTAAAAGGAAGAAAGCTGAGAAATAGAAAAAAGCCAAACGGATCCCGGTATCTTCTTTTGAGGGACTTGATATTTCTGTCTGTGTGTTTCTTGTGTTTAGCATGACAGGTGGTGAGTATCCAGTAACTTTTTAAAAAGAAATATATAAATGATAGAAATCTTGAAGGTGTTTGTATTTCATATGAAAGAATAAGGATGGGTACTAATTATTATGTCTATAACGAACTGTTTTGTGTGTCATTTTAGACAGTGATGTGTGGATTAGCACCTCCGCTTGAGAGCTCATACAGCAGAGGGCGAGCAAAGCTGGCTTCCCCAAAGGGCAAGAACTATTACGTGGCAAAGACCAGATTCCAACCCGTGCCTCACTTCCTTGGAGGCCTGGGTCTTAACCACTTAGCTAGATGCCTCTTGCTAGTGAGGAGAGAGCTGACCTTTGGCAGAAAGCATGGCTAATACAGGACCTCCCAGCTGCTGCAGAGTGACGACGGAAGAGTCTGGGATGCCTCTTGGCGTTGCTCTGCAGCAAACAGGTGATGTGCGCTGCTAGTGCCTCCTGTCTCTCACCTGGGCCTGCATTTGCACCTGGCCACATTGCTGCTGCCTTCTGTCTCTAGCTCTGGGTGTTACCTGCCATCATTGTGACCTATCCTCTCAGAACACTTGCTTTTATGGTTATCTGATTCATAGTGTCATGGGCTCAAGGGTGACATGTATTCAGATAGAGAGTGTATTTATTGGAGTCACAACACTTGCTGTCACAGAAAAAAAAATTTTTCAGTGGCTTAACAAGATGGAAGTTTACATCTTGCTCATATAAAGCCCTGCGAGGGGGTTGGCTTTCTTTGAAACAGTGATACCAGAATCTTTCAATCTTATGTGTCTACCAGCTTGGCTTCCATAGAGAACGTGCTTACTTGCAGTAAGCCAGCAGAAGCAGAAAGAGCAAGGAGACTGCACGGGTGGGCTAAGGACCAGAATGTCATAGTAGTGGCATCCCATTGCTAGGACCCAATCACATGGCCACACTTAAGTGCAAGGAATGCTGGGAAACGTGGTTTATCTAGTTGTCTTAGGAAGGTGAGGAAGTTAATTTTATGAGTAGTTAGATAGCCCCTTCCGCTGTGAGGATCTCTGAAAGCTTGAAAGATCTCTTGAATTTGGAAGAGATGGTCAGGGATTTGGGGGAATCCCAAATTTAGGTAAGAGATTTGACTGTGCCCCTCAGATCTCACCTTTCAATTGATGACTTAACTTTTTCTACATATAGACCTCCCTCCTAGTGATGATGATGGGCTGGGGACAAGGGGTGAGCAACCCCTGGGGGCTGTGTAAGGGAGCAAAATTTGCCACCCAAATTGTCTCCTTGGCATGTGGATTATTTCAAGCCGAAAACAGTCAAAGTCCAGAAGACTCAGGGAGAATCTCTGACCTTCTCCCTAGCTACCTAGAAGAATTTAGATGGAAGGCCTGTTTCCAACATAGAGCCATCACCAGAGATATCTGCAAAGTTGGGGCAAATGTGCTGGAAGCCTAGAAAGCAGAGTCCACTCAGTGCCCCATTGTCTCTGCAGGGCCCAGCAAGCATTCATTTACCAAGCATTTGCTTCTCTGTCTCTATGTGGATTGCCTTCCTCCCTTTTAACAACCTACTATCCCCAGCATCATCTTTTGTCTTTAGCTGAATATTGTATTTAAGTTGAGGGTTTTAGCCATTTTGGCGAGCTGCTCAGTTTTCCTGGGTCTCTCCCATGTACACATGTTAAACTCTTGTTTGATTTTCTCCTGTTAATCTGTCTGTTAATTCCTAGAGCAGCCAGAAGAACCTAGAAGGGTCCAGTAGAATTTCTTCCTCCCCAACACTGGACTAGGTCAACAGATTTGCAGGATGAAAATGGAACTCTTTGGAAAGAAAGATCAGTGGGGCCCTCATCTCTGTTCCATGTGAATCTGCTCATATTGTAATGAATTCATTGATTTATTCATTCCACAGACACTCGTTTGAACATACTGTGTACAATGCTAGGCAGCAGGGATCTAAGCATCCAGTCTCTGCTCTTGAAGAGCTTACAGTCGAGTGTGAAAAAGAGGAGAAACGGGACTGCTACAACCCAAAGGCATGAATCCTATGACTGAGGTAGGTCCATGCAGGGTGAGGGTCATCTATCCCAGGCTGGTGGGAGGATTAGCTGATCTGTCTCCACACTGAGTTTTGAAACATCCCTAATGCAATGAAGTTGGGGCAGGATGTTCTGGTAGAAGACACAGCATGTACAAAGGCACAGAGGTGTGGAAGAGCATTCAGGAGTGGTGAGCAGTTCAGGGGTGGTGGACATGGGATCCACGAGGAAGGTAGTGCTGGACTAGATCACGATGAGTACCGTGTGCTCACCTATGGAGTATGCATTTATTCAGACTTTCCGACCTTCCAGAAATGCCAATGCCCACTTTAGAGCAGGGAGTTTCATGGTATGTGATGGAAGTGCCCATGGCTGGCCCTGATGAGAATGTGCTGCTTCTGCACAGTGACCTGAGCACCACCAGCGCCCCAGCCCTGTGTGCATGCCGGTGGGCTAGGGGCCTCCTCCAGGCATGTGCCATCCTAGCTGCAGTCCACGTGTAATCTCTGCTACACTTTCTAGTCTCTCACAGCAATAATGGGAGCCAGAGAGGGCACTGATTCTCTACCCACATGTGTAACACGCTCTGGTTTCCCACAGGCTCTCCGATAAAATGATGTCCTTCCTCCCTCCTTTCCCGGAGAACTGGTGACTCTTTTCATTTTTCGGAGAAGACTGAGTCACTTGAGTCCCTGTATAGATACTTAATGCCCTCTAGCCACCAGAATTCATGAAAGAGACAGATTTATGAGGATGCGCTGGGAACTAGAATCTCAGTTTCTCTTTGTAATCTATTTTTGGCTAGGAAGCAGAGCCACATGGAAAAGATTTGATAATGTTAACAAATGACACAATAGTACGTAGCTGAGCCAGGAAGTGTTTCCAGTCTCAAGTGATGTGCTTCAGTCACACACAGACTTCTGGGGAAGTGGCTTTCTCATCTCATCTAAAATGCCATGTCATCTTCTAATGCTCAACCCAGATGCCACCTGCTCTGTAAATATTCCTCAGTATTCAGCCCAGACTATCCCTCTCTATTTCACTTGTATCTCTATTCCTTGATTACCCACTTTGCCTGGATCCTAAGTAATTGCCTCCATATGTGCCTCCTCATGAGATTATAAAATAAGGTAACATTTATTATGTGCCCGCATGTGTCAGGCACTGGAATAATTGTTTTACACATTCGGTTTCACGGAATCTTCTCAAATTGACTGTGGGTAGATGTTACTAGATCCACATGAAAAGTAAGTAATGGAAGTTCCTGGATGTTAAGCTCCTGGAAAGCTTAAAAAGGTATATCTTTATCTGGCTCTGCATGTTTCACCAGCCTGGCTGCCACAACAGGTCCTGAAAACGATAGGAACAAAATATGTTTTATTGAAATCCTTGGGATTCTTCTTTTCCCTGCCCAAGTATCGTAATATCCATCAAGGCTTGTTTTATATTTAGAAAAAAAAGTACTAGGAAAACCCAAAGTGGTGTAATCAAGGAGTCGGAGCATTAAATATCTTGGGCTTTTGCCAGGGAAGTTAGCATAGGACATGTGTTGTTCTGTGCTTCATCCTGATAGAAAGGGTGTTCATTGACATCGTGATATATTTTAGAATCAGATTTGCGAAACTTGTCGCAAACAGCTATGTGTCATGCTAGGGGAAGGGCTTGGACATCTGAACCACCCTGCGCTGTGTTCTGCGCCTTGCATCTTCTTTCTTGACCTTTAGCAAGACCAGCATGTCTTTCCCTTGATGAAACAGCTCATGAAACACAACGCTTCCTTGAGTCAATCCCTGATTTCAGAAAATCCTCAAACATGTTTCTAACTGTATGTGTGTCTGTGTGTGTGTGCATTTGGAACAAAGAAGCAAGAGTGAGGAAGTAATTTCTACTCAGTAGTCTGGGGTCCACTCTATTGAAAATATCACCCCCCTAAAAATGAAATGTTACAAGAGCTCTTCTTTTCCAGAGCTTGGAGTAGATTCCTTTCTCTTTTTGGAAAAACGGATGTGAAAAATCCATCATGTTCTCATCCTCAGTTATAGGGCCTGTTCATACCTTTATAACTGCAGTGGGCGTTTGTTAGCTCCTGTTTCCAATCAATTGGATGAGTTCGTTTCCCTTCTAAGGGCATGTGGTCCCACAGAGGGGATGAAGCCACCTTTACCATCCCTGGGAGAGGGAGGCTGGGGTGGGGCCCTAATGAATTAATGAACATTTAATAGTGCAAACACACAGCATCTATGGTGAGAACATACAGCTTCCACTATGAGATGAAGATGACAAGGAGGGTATTTATCCATTTATTTAATGCGTGGTTACTGATCACTTGCAGTGCATTTAACATTGTTCTAGGCAGTGAGGAAATGAAGGGGCTTGCCCTTAAGAGGCATGTAGCCCAGAGGAGGAGACAAATAAGTAAAGTAACAGTTGTAATCCAATGTGACAAGGGCCACGAGAGAGCAAGTAGGCGGTCTGGGTAGGTGAGAGTTGGGGGAAAGCTTGCTAGAGAGGGTTACACCTGAACAGAATCTTGAATATGATTTAGAGTTATGGAGGAGGGGGGAGAAGAGAGGGCGTCAGAGAGAGGCAGAGGGATCTGCCCTACCAGGCGTGGAGATGAGAAACAGCACACTACATTCTAGGAGTGTTGAAGGAGTGCGGGTCGGGGAGAGAGGGAGTACTGGGGTAGCGCTGGAGAGAGAGGCTAGGTTGGCAGGGTCTCATACAGGGCCCTTGAGAGCCATGTGAAGGATTTTGAACTCTCCTGGTGTAGGTAGGTGACTGGAGGCCATTCCATTGTGTCAACAAAGCAGGGACAAGGGTAGAGTCAGGCTTTAGAAATACTGTCCTGGCTGCAGTGTAAGGCAGGCTAATTGGGGTCAGGGAGGCCAGTGAAGGGCTATTACAGTCATTTAAGCAAGAGGTGTTGCTTGTGTGGACCAGGGTGGGAGCTGTGGGGATAGGGGGAATTGGGAAGATTTTAGTAATACTAAAGACAAACTTGCCAGGCTTTGGTGATTGATCAGAGGTGGGGAATGAAGTAGAGAGAAGCAGCATCCTGGACTGGAGGCCCAGTGGATGCTGATGCTGGTCACTAAAATGGGATTAGAGGAAGAGTGAGGATGACCACTGTGTGGACCTGGTAGTTACAGGTCAGGAATAGAGGCAATGGTGGCAAAAGGGTGAGCTTGGCCTCAGCAAAGACACAGTGCCCACGTTCCATTTATTTCCAGACCCGGCCTGGGAGCACATATACGTAGAACCCCCACTTGAAATGGAGCCAAGGATAGGCTGAATTCCCCTCTAGAGGCACTCACTCTCCCCTGGTTTGGTGTGTTCTTTTCTCACAGTCTGTAACAGTTATCATGATAGTCACAGAGAGACAGTACAGAGGTTACGTGCGTGTACACCAGACTACTTGGGTTTGTAAACAGTCTAATTCTTATTTCTGTGTGACCTCAGGCAAGTTACTTAACCCATCTGTAACTCAGTGACCACGTTAGTAAAGTGGGGATCATAGTTCCTACTTGACAGATGTGTTGTAGAGAAAACAACTGTGTAGAACCACATGTGAGGGAATAGTTAACCTGATAAAATATCAATAAAACAAATGAACAGTTCTTACCTTATTCTTGGCTCATTTCCTCTTCTTCTCGGTGTAAAGCATGGATTTTTATTTTATTTTATGCCGGATGCAGGGTGCTTCATGGATTCGGAGCTCTGCTTTTTTAGAGAAAGGAAAAGGAGTCAAGGGATTTTTGGAGAATCTGTATCCAGTGCTGGGCTAGGCATTTTTCACGTCTTCTAATCCACGGCCACCCAGAATTATCATCCACAAATTCTGATCTGGTCATTCTCCTTCCTGTTGCTCAAAAGTTCAAGTTCAAACTCCAGATGCCTCAGCAGGGCTTTCGACCCTCTTTGTGACCTGCCCCCACCTTGCTTCTTGTGCTTCGTCTCCTGCTCCCGCCTCCTATGTGCTGATTCTACCCTCTCCTTTTAGCCACGATATGCTTCCCATTCTTCAGATGTCATGATCGGATTTGCTTCCCCGTCACAGTGTGTGTTGTGCCTTCTTCTGGGACTGCCTTTAGGTCTCACTTCTTAATTAAGACCCTGCTCAGATATTACCACCTCTTGCCAAATTAATCACCTTGCCTTCCCTGATTCCTGTATTTTGATGGTTCTTCTAATATAATTCTTCCTACAGAGAATCTTAATAATTTGTTCATGAGTTAGTCTTCCACTTAGTAAACTGTGAGCTTTTCAAGGGCAGAACCTGTGTCTGCTTGGTCTTGAAGTCCCAGATCCTAACCTAGGACTTGGTACAGAGTGGGTGTTGGGGCAAGGCTTACTGAATACAAGTCAACTGATAAACCCCACTTAAAAATAGAAGCAGCAGTAGATAGACAGCATGCTTTTTCCCCCTCCCACCACCTTACCTTGCCTTCACCCCAGCTCAGCAATGTGCCCAGGAAGAAGGACATCTGGAGTCTGAGAAGGAAAGGACAGGCTAAGAAACAATACAGATGTTTGTTGCTTTGCTTGTGTCCCCCAGATAAGCCATCGATCCCAAGACACCAACATTATATACCGTAGCTAAAGGGATTTTTTAACCTCTCAACAAAGACCCGGGATTTAAAAATCTTTCAGTTTTCTAATGTAAGTTAGGGTAACCAGTTACAAAGAGTAGAAACACTGGACTGACAAAGAGGCTCAAATCAAGTCTAATCTTAGCCCAACTTGACAGGTAACATTTATATGTAAAAAATGTGGCATCCTCACCTTCTTTACACAGATGAGTTCATCAGCAAATCAGATCCTCTTGAACACCTACCATTTGATCTGCTCTATTATAATTTTTGAAGAGATTCATTGTGGTAAAATACAGTAGCATTTACGAAGTTGCTTTTGTACCCTCTAAAATAATCTTGGAAAACTAGGTGCCTTTTAAAGTTGACAAAGGTTTTTATTGTACATATAAATAGTGGCAAATGATATAACTTTCAGCATGTTG